GGACATTCTACTCAAACCCGGAACAATTACGAGGGACTGGCTTCCAAAAATTCACGAAGGACTGGTCCAAAATTTCGGTTGAGGCACAATAATTTAGATGGAACAGGAAGCACAATAATTTAATTAGGATAGACTGGTCCCAGAATTCCTTGGAAATACAATATTTAGGATGGACTGGTCCCAAAATTATACGAAACAAGGAAAGAATAGTCACATTCGTGGGGTCGGTGATGTTAGCGTCAATTTGAGGAACATAGGGCACGGACTGGAATGATGTACCTCATTTTTTGTAGATCAACATTGGCACCCAATAATGTAGCATGACCATCCAAATAATGAAAAAAGTGAAGTGGATGATTTCGTGTTTTAGTGAATATTTATCGTGTAATTAATATCCTTTTATTGCACTTATCTCACATTAATCTTGGAATAGGTTGTACCTATTCCAATATGTGATTAATGTTCATTTCTTGTATACAAATATAACTCTAATGAAGAAATATTTATAAACACTTTCCAAAACTCTTCCATTTAGCGATAAGAATTCTAAGTTATACTTCTACAAGTGACTAGACATGAGATAACTCCTATTTCATAAGAGTTGTTAAATCCTTATAGGTTATTCATCATCTTTCCATACTTTATGTATATATCAATTTGCTAATGTTGTGAGCATTACCTGTTACAGGAGCAATCATATAACAAATAAAGTATAACTGTCCGTACTTAAGATATTGTGATAACTTTAAATCTAAAGATCACTTACACAAATGTCACTTAGAGATTAATTTTTTTTGCACTTAAAGGATGTCTCTATGCGGATCAATTTAGTGAACTTAATCATCCTATCAAGCACACATATACTAATTTAGATGTCTCACACATCACAGTAGACGAGGTCTACTACTTCTCATATAGAAGCAGCATAGTATATGTTAGTCTAACTCTATTAACAATGCCCTTTTTTGTTATTACTTTAATTAGAGATATTTAAGAGTAAACCTTATCTATAACCTAATGAATCTTACCATCATAATTTTAGGAAAAAAATAAAAAAAAAAACTTGATGACAAAGCAATGAGCTAGCGTGACATTTAATAAGTAGATGGGTTACATCAACTAAAAGTAACCCCTATCTCCAATAGAACATTTATACGTACTGAATAAGGAAGAAGTGGTACTGATCACGATACCTGTCTATGAACCCTTAGTTAGGTTTGTGATGGATTGAAAATTTTTAAATGACAGATCATGTTACTACTGTATTTATCACCAATTTTAAGTCCTAAAAGCGTGTCCAAGACACTATTCAATTTTTATTATTTCTTTATGATAATATCTAAAAATTGACTGAAAATTTGACTTTGCGGATGTTAAATTTTGTATGGTTTGATTAAAAAAGAGAAAGAGGAGAAAATAAAAATAAAATAAAAACAACTTACTTAAAAGAGGGATAATTTTGGTTATCTCCCCTGTGGTTATTGATAATTCACTTGTAGCCCCTTAAGGTTTGAATTTTATATGCCTCTCCTATTTTGAGCTCTAATGTAATAAAAAGCATATAATGTAGTTCTAGTTGCATGTCAAGAGATCAAATCTCTGCACCTGTAATTAAATTAATCAAAAGGTGTACAATAGTTCATCCTTTTGTCTAGAGATGGGTGTTTTTCCTTCTAACACTTCGTGACCTAGTCAGACCTCTGTTTGAATATTAGAGTGAGAGAAGTGTATCAATATTGTTGATTAACCGAAAAAAAAAAACCACAAGTATATACACTTTCTTTAGGACAGTTTTGTTTTAAAACAAGTATATTGCATATATTGGTGATCTCTCTCAACAAGGAGCAAGGTTCCTTCACTGTGGGAGACTACAACACCCATATTTTTTTTATTGTTATATTCAACTTTTATTTTTTGCTCGTTAATTAATTGGTAATTTTCTATGGGAAAAAAGTAAAAAAATTGGTAGAGAATGTTAAAAGGTAATTGGGAGTTATGGAGGAGATAAAATAGGAAAAGCTAAAATCCTCAACCCCCGTAACCACCATGTAGTGGATGGTTATTAGGAATTTAAAACACTTATCAAAACAATTAAAAGAAATAACATCGTTCCTAACTCTCATGATCTGCCTTCCCTTGGAACAATAACCATTTGAAAATAGAGAAGAAGAAGAAGAAAACATCGCCGTCGATAAGCAAGCAACTAAGCATCTAGACCTGTAACTTCTGAACACACGTTAAAACTTTTTCTTTTAAATCTTATTAATTTCATGAATTATTTTAAAGATTTTATGTATACATATATATTATGATATGTATATGCCTGTATGAGAAATTTAGGAAGATTCTTGTTCAGATTAGTAGCAATAGTGTGTTAAATTTTAATTATGGGATGAAATAGAGTCTAAACCCATTTCTACGAAGAGTTTTTTAAAAAAAAAAGAAGAAGAAGAGTTGCATCGTTGTTGAAGCTTCTTCAGCAATACAAGAAGGAAAAAAAAAGAGAGCAAGACCCTTCTCTCATACCAAGTCAGGCATGAAGGCCAGCCAAAGGAAAAAAAATTCCTGTTAAGGAAAAAAATGGGGAAGAAGATGACCCGCTAATTGATGGGTTAATGAACCGGGTTGGTCTTGTGGGTCGGATCTGGAAGGAAATGGTTTGGGTCAAGATGTAGGTGGGTATGTGTGGGCTTGCTGAGTTGGATGCTGGGCCAAGTGTGAAGGGGAATCGAACTAGGACTAGGAGAAATAAGGAAATGCTTGGGCATATGGAACTTGGGCCATTATTATTCAAATCCGAAAAAAAAGGTGGCACTATACTTGGACCAAAAGTATAGTGGATTTAGTGAATGTTCAATAGATAAAATTTAGATATAACCAACCCATCTTTTATGGATTATCATGGGTATTAAACTTCAAAAACTAATATAAAATAATTTTGGGCTTTCAAGATTTAGTTATTCAGGCTTATGCTTAATTAATTCAATATAAGATATTTAAGTAGAAGTCTAAGACATTTTAATCTAACATTATTAGATTAATTTATACAATATAAGATAAGTTTTAGATTTTTAAACAAATGCTTAAAATGATGATGATGATGATGATGATATAAATATGGATGAAATAAATTAAGGATATAAACGAAAATAAAAATATAAATACAAGTGGAATAGGCTAAGATAATAATTGTAATGGTAAATAAATATACATTCGTATACATGAATAACAATAATACATATACATGTGCAAAAAGGGAAATAGAACAAAAGATAATAATAACTAATTAACCAATATATACATGTATATATATGAATGAAAATAAAATAAAATAGTATTGATAAAGACAATAACAATAATAAGAAATAAAATAATAAAAAATATATATAATAAATAATAGTCAAGATAATAAATATGATTATAAACAATTATTTATGAGTTAGGAAACTTTACATAAGAAAAAAGGAGCTTTCCAAATTAAGAAACTTTCCAAGAATAGAAACTTTCCAATTTAGGAAACTTTTCAAAAACAGAAACTTTCCAATTTAGGAAACTCTTCTAGACTTCAGATAATGATCTAGACATGAATCTTAGAGTTGTTTAGAGTTTTGTACATTTATATATCTATAAGAAATATCAACTAATTAGGATATCTATAAATTTGATAGGTACGACACAAGTTTAAAAGACCTAAGATAGTCCCACTCGAGCAACCAGACACTCTTCTGGGATTTCAAAAAATCAAAGCGAAATTTTTATTACTAATCTTCTTTTGATGTGTCAATTTGAAATTTACTTGAGTATTTATGCAAGTTCTATTTTTACTATATAAAGATGCATCATGTGAATTATTTGAAGTATTTTGATATGTTATTATATACAAAATGAGTGGTATATTTTGTGAAATCAAAGACTATGTATCTGACGTGTGAAATGAATTTATGTTAAGCAAAGATCAAAACAATCATGGAATAGACGGTAGGGGTTATAGTCTTATCTAAAGGTTACGGTAATCTGGTATAGAGTCTGGCCGATTGATAAGGTCATGGTAGTTCGGTATGGAACCCGACCGATTGATGTATATATATAATGAGACCAATCGGTAGTCATGAGATCTATTGGTCGCTCACCTAGAAGGGTTTAATATCTAGATTGAGTATTCAGAAGTCGGTCATTGCATATACTTATTATGAGTTGGTATGAAATGATTTATGACTCTATGGTTTTCATGTACGGTTATGAATAAAATGTTTACAAATTGTTGTGTCACTCATTATTACTGACTGTTTTACGGATAACGTTATTGTCAATAATTATACATGTGAATGGTGTGCAAATAATTTGATATATATATATGTATGTATGTATGTATGTATGTATGTATGTAAGTATGTATGTATATGTAAAGGTATGATTGCATGGTCCAACAGAGGGGTAGGAGCTACCTATTGAACGATTTATCAGTCATCCCAATTTTTTATACTTTTGCATATTGTGAAGAGTATGAGTTGGTTTACATCAAAGACTTGAGAATGATTTTTAGTAGGTCTAAGTGGATAGAAATTAGCAGTCTAACTGCTTTTGGCTGTTATTTTATTTAATTTCTTTTTTCGTTGTCTCATCTAGAAAATAAGTGTACGAATTTATTGGATACTCGTAGACTACCTTCCATTTAAGATTTGTACCGCATTATATTTAGTTATACTATTTAGTACTTTTTAAGTTTTAGTCTAATTTACTATTATCTTGTATTCTTAAATGGAATTTAGGATACGGCAAATATTGCGTGACTGGCACATGCGGACTAGGGGCGTGACTGAGACGGCAGCGTATGTGATAACGAAACAATAAAACGAATGCTCACTCTTGTGTGGCAGCGTAACAGTATGTAAACGTATTAGAACAAATCACACGTGGCGGCTACTGATAACTATCTAATTGCAAAGATTTCTCTCCTTCACTTTTCCATGTAGAAAAATCTAAGTCAACTAATGGCTGCTACTGATAACTCTTTACTTGCAGAGCTTTCTTTCCTTCATTTCCCATGTGGAAAAATTTAGGCTGGTGATCCAAAAATTTTGCTGTTATAAGTACATCCCGTCCCGCTCGAATCTCTACAATAAGCAGCAAGTTGCAAGCCCAATCCACTTTTCAGCAAAGCTAAAACTACTAAAAGTCTCGGATCAAGGGCAGCAGAGATGGCTTGTGAAATTGGAAACAGGACCGTCCTAAAATTCGACACTGAGGATGGTGTCGCAGTGGCCCTGGCCAGATACATTGCCGATCTCTCCGAAAGATTCATCAAAGAAAAAGGTTCTTTCAATGTGGTCCTCTCAGGAGGCAGCCTCATCGATACTATGAGGTAAATCAACAGTACAAAAGAATCATTTATATCTGTCAAAGCATGCAAGCAAGAAATTAATGTTACCTTCTTTCGTGTTCGTGTTTAATAGAGTACAGTTTTTACATATTGATTGCCTGATTAATTTTAATATCAATACACAGGTATCTAGCCCGGGCCCCTTACAAGGAATCAGTGGATTGGCCAAAAAGGAGCATATTTTGGTTGGATGAGAGGGTGGTTCCTCTGGACAGCAAGGATAGCAATTACAGACTTGCCTGGGATGGACTTCTTAAATACGTAACATCTTATTAAATTTCCTCCGCAATATACATGCATAGTAATTTTGAAAAGCAAGTTAATTATTCATTATTTTTGCATAGGATACCGAAAAATCTAATTTTTTTTTATCTAGTATAAAATGGTATAGAAGAACCTTTTTCTTTTAAATTTTTTTTTTCAGTAGAAGAGAAATGGAACTTAAGAAACGAGGGGCAGAGGAATTTGAATTCAGAATTTCTAATTCCTTAATTTGCAACTGATACTAAATAATATCAAATGTTAAGGTAGTTATGTTTACCATCAATCTTAGTAGTATCACAAGCATGGTAAATTTGAATGTTACAAATATGTACATAAAACTTTATATCAGACTCTACAAATGTTACAAATATGTACACAAATATGTACGTAAAACTTGTAGCAGACAAACTTGGCAAAAACTCAAGTGCCAAATAGGGCCCAAGTTATATTTACCTATTGAGTTGATGCGTATGAATAAAATTTACGCATATAACAAAATTATATAATTGTACACTGAATTATGTAAGAACAATAACTATATATCCGCATGAAAATTCTGACCTTATCTACATCTGGTTTGTTTACTTGTTAGTGTGTGCATGAGAGAGACACCAACATGAAAGCAACCATTATGAGCCTCTTTGACGCTTTCTAACCTTATCTACATCTGGAGAATGATTTTTGCAGCTGCAAATGACTGGTCTGTTTACTTTAAATTTTGACAAAATAGAAGTATTAATCATGAAAAGTTACAAGTGCGTTATATATTTAGTCAATAAGTACAATTTTTTTTTAAGAATAAGGAAAACTACGCGACACCAAAAATATTCGATTTTGAATTTTACTAACTAGAACTAGTAGTGACAATTAAAAGACTGAGCAATATATTCTCTAATCAATGATCGATGGGTATTCGATTTTTATCTTAGTGATTTAAGGATTAAGCAACCATAGAAAGATAGGATTTCATGGAAAGAGAGTTCAAGAAGAGTGAGAGTGTAGTATGATAATCTGATGTTGGGATTGTGAGGGTTGAAGTGATAAAGTGTCTGTCTATATTGTTTCCCGTCTAAAGGCTAAAATGGTAAGTACATATTTCTATTTTTATGTCTTTAAAATTTGATGGAAATCAATAAGGGTTGTTCTGACTTTTGGCTATTTCCGTTCCATATAACTGACAAACTTAACGTGGGAGAGTAATTTGTTATTTGTCCAAATCTCAGGGATCGATTCGTTATTTGATCAAATCTCAAGGGAGGTAAATGTAATTAACCTTTTTTTTTAAGAGTAAGGAAAACTATGCGACACCAAAAAATATTCTATTTTGAATTTTACTAACTAGAACTAGTAGTGACAATTAAAAGACCAAGCAATATTCTCTAATCAATGATCGATGGGTATTCGATTTTTACGAGGTACTTGATCTGTTTAATTAGGGAGCAACGGGGGATAAAACAAACGTTGGGGAATACAAATTGCATTTCTTTGTTCAAAAGTTATCACGTGTGCCTAAGCCTCCAAACGTGATAATATCAATGTTTCCAAGAGCTACGGTTAAGAATTGTATTAAGTAACAATGAAAAGACACCTAAACTTTAATTATCCCTTGGAAAACATCCAATTTTCAATACTAAATTCTACCTACATTGACCAAGTTATTAAAAGGGTTAATTTCACTTTGTTCCCCCAAACTTTGGACCATTACTTACTTCAATTCTTAAACTTCAAAATGGGACACTTAAGTCCCTAAACTTATAAATACCTCTCACTTAAGTCCCTAAACTTATAAAATAGGACACTTAAATCTCTAAACCTTTATAAAATGGGACACTTCGACCACCAACGACATTCCAGATTTGTTAATAATTTTCCTTAAGTGGGAGATATTTATAAGTTTAGAGACTTAAGTGTCCCATTTTGAAGTTTAGGGATTACGGTGGATAATCGTCCAAAGTTTGAGGGGACAAAGTGGTATTAACCCTTATTAAAATACAGCTTAGTTGGTAGGTAAGACGTTCCTCCTATAATAAAAAACTTTCAAGTTATCAAAAGGTATAAACTCTTTTTTGTCAAAAATAATAAATAAATAAATAAATAAAAATTAGTACTAAGTTCAGTACAAAGATGAAGTTCTTCATTGATCCACAAACTTAAAATGTTTAATCTAACAGTAACTTCCAAAGACCAGATTAAATGACCAAAATAAAGATTCAAGGCCATGTACCAAATAAAGGCCAATATAGATAACAATCGACTTTATTAAAGGATGACCCAAATCAAACGTACATTGTACCGCAACGGATCTTCTGTCTCACATCCTGTGTCATTCTCTGTACCACTTTTTACTATATTGCTATTTCTCCTTTATAAATATCATGTTTTAGTTCTTTTTTGTTTTCTTAAGATTCAATAACTATTAATTCAGTAAAAAATAAATACAACAGTTTCAAAAAAGTAATATATAATAGAAAATTAAAAAATACAGCAGAAAATTTAGAAAAAATCTCATTTTTTATGCATTTTGATTTTTTGAGTTTGTTAAATTTTGTGTATTACTGAATTAATAGTTATTGGATCTTAAGGAAACAAAAAAGAACTAAATTAAAACATGATATTTATGAAGGAGAAATAGCAATATAGTAAAAAGTGGCACAGAGAGTGGCATAAGGTGTGGGACAGAAGATCCGTTGTGACATTGTACTGTGAAAGACAAGTACAAGCAAAAGAGTAAAGTGAACAACATCAAGAAAAATACATATCGGCGCTTAATACATGACACTCAAGTCCAAATTATTGAAGGCGCCCCACAAATCCCTTGGTTCCACAAGAGATGAAATCAAGTGATAATTATGGAGAAACTAGACACACTGTTTGATGGCACTGTAGTCGACATGTTCACAACTCGTCTTGCGACAAAGTCGGGTTTGACACTGCCTATCAATATAGCATCGGGAAGGGCAAATTCCTCCAGCATCAGTTAAAGTTGACTCCAGAGTTGTTATCAATTGTTCAGCTATAGCTTCTGCTTCAGCTTCAGCTTCAGCCTCAGCTGGTTGGACTCTTGAGGCTTCCACCTTTGCTATTGGCCCCCCTGTGACCACTGCAAATGAATTTTGCAAGTTCAGCTCAACAGTTTATAGTTTAAAACTACACCAATCATATTGGTTAACTCGTCAAATAGTTTATGGGTTGTTCGTTTTTCATTGCATCTCAAGTTATTTCGAATGCTTAATGTCCCTGTAGATCATGAGCAGTTTCTATGTCTTCACACTAAAATTTTAAAATTTTGATAAGATTTAGCAATTTAAGATTAAACAAGATTAAACTTAATAATGATCATTAGGCCTCAATAGTTACTGAAGTCCCATGTCAACGTGTCTGTGCTTGTTTTAGCGTGTTTGTGTGCCATGGGTGAACCAGAAGTTGAGATATGCAAAAAGCTCGGTGAGGAAGTCTAACATCTACGTACATAATTGAATATAATTGAGAACTTTTAGAATTTCAGTGGAACATAAAATGATTTCTAAAATTTTAGGAGAGGCAAATTCTGCATTTTACAAATATATATATGTAAGAAACCTTAACTTTTATGGGATGTGGAAGCATTTTTCTTTAATTTGTGTGTGCATGCATGAGGGAAAGACTTACATGAAGCAATCACAAAGAAAGCAAATAGTATCAGCTTTTTTGATGCTTTCTCCATTTCTTCTCAATGCTGAATTTTAGAGCTACAAATGACTGGCTAGAGATCTCCTAGGCAAGTCTGATGGTTCCAGTCTCAGTTCACAGAGCGGTATATATAGGGCAGAAAAGTGTGTACGCTTCCTTTCTGCACTTTCAATAATTATAAATTCGTAGTTGATGCTTCGCAGTATATATCAACCATTCTGAACAAGAAACAAGTGGTACTAATTAAGACGAAAACCTCTGCGTCAATCCTAGTCAGGTTTTGTGATGGTTTCAAAATTTTTGACTATGAGTAAATACGTACTCTACCACACTTTTCTGTGAGTAAATATATCGGAATAATGTAGTTCCAATGGTTTGGTTTCCATGCACACAAGAATATAAGTAGATGAGCTACATCAACTAAGATTAGGTCTTAATAGTTATTGAAGTCTTCACACAAAATTTTCAAAAGTAAGGAGTTGTTATGAGTAAAATTTGATAAGATTTAGCAATTTAAGATTAAATAAAATCAAGCCTAATAATGATGTTTAGGTCTCAATAGTTATTGAACACCCAAGTCAACATGTCCGTGCCTCTTTAATGTGTTTGTGGGCATTGGTGAAACCAGAATTTGAGATTTGCTGGGTAAGACAGGTAAAAATAGTAGAATTAAGGGGGCACTCTTAAAAAAAATTTGCAGACTAATTCACGAACGACAAATACTACTTTTGTTATAGATTTTTACATGCAAGATTAAAAAACCATCAATAGAAATTTGCAACAGTTGATGGATTTAACAAAGAAAAAGGTTCTTTCACTGTGGTCCCCTCATGAGGTACCCTTATCGATACTATATATATGTGGTATACAATCAACAATATGGAAGAGTCATTGAAAATCTAGCAAAGCATGCAAGCAAGAAATTAATGTTGTCACCTACCCAAAAAAAAAAAGAAATTAATGTTGTCATTTTATGTGTTCAATGCTGTACGGCATGATGGTTCGGTTTTTATTAGAGATGTAATCGAACCGAACTCCTCGTGAACTTGCGAGTAGCTCGTTGCCAGCTCGCGAGAAGCTCGGTCAAAAGCTGGACTCGCACTCGAGTACGAGTAGTTTGATAATTATTCAAGTCGAGTTCGAGTATTATTTTTTCAAACTCGGTGACTCGTCGAGTCTTATCGAATACAAAGTAATCAATTAAAAATTATATATTTAGTTATTATAATTTTACTCTTTTAGGCTTCGGAGTTATATAAATTTTGAAAATTTCTCTTTTAGTCGAGTCAAGTACTCAAGGTTTATCACATTCACAAGAAAATTGAGCATAATCGAGTCGATCTCGAGTTTTTCGAACTATTTTTTGAGTTCGAATTCAAACTCCATTTTTGCTGCTCACTCGAACTTGAGCAATACCTCTCTATTGTTGAGTCAAGCTTGAGTATAGCGAGACTCGTTCTTGACTCGATTCGATTTTTCTCTAGTTTTTATGCATTGATTGCCTGATTAATGTTGATATGGAAACATATCTAACTCGGGTCCTCACAAGGAATTCAATTGGATGGCAAATTATTTACACAAATTTATTTACATTATAAACATATTTTTAATCACTTTTTTATTTCACATACATCATATAAAAAAGGGGCTTCACTATTTTTTTAAAAAAATTATCCCAAATAGTCTCCTATCGAAACACAGTCACATTGGCCAAAATGGAGTACATTTTTGTTGGAATTGGAAAGTGCTACACTATTTTTTTAAAAGAAAATTATCCCAAATAATCTCCTAGCCGAACAAAGTTGCACCAGCCAAAATGGAGTTTATTTTCGTTGGATGAGAGGGCGTTCCTCTGGATGACAAGGATGGCATGCCTTATGATGGATTATTTTTCGTCCGAGATAGCTAGAGATACCTTTATTTCCAAAAGATAAAGCACATTATATTAATGATATGTGAATATATCATTAACATATAAAGCAATGTGTTGGTGGAACCGGCAAGACAATATGGCAAAGTGATTTTAAACTCATGCAAAACTGTCGGCAACAAATCTATCATTTTGTGGTTAAGGTTCGAACCTATATGATAGCAATAATTTCATTTTTATTTTTCCTTCCACGAGAAGAGTGGGACGAAAAAATGATGATGTGATGTGGTGTGATGCCAGAAATTTAAATTTTGGTCCCAAATGTGTAGTCTAACCGTGCATGTATCAGTGTAAAACATAATTGAAGTTTAAATTGTAATTAATTATCATTTAACTCGCTTTACTTGTGTATACACTGTCACTATATACTAACTTTATTTAAGATAAAAAAACAATTGAAGAATAAATAAGATTAAACTTAATAATGATTAGGGTCTCGTGTTATTGTTTGTTCATCTCCTAATGTATTTGTGTGTGCATGCTTTTGAGATTGAGAGAGAGAGAGAGAGAAGCAATCACAAGTAAAACCTATCAGCTTCTTTGGTCCTTAATGACTGGCTAGAGATCTTCTGTATGCGTTTGATGGTCCCGTCCCCAGTCCTCAAGTTGAAATATAGAATGCGAACAACAATTTTTTTTAAAAATTTGTAGGTCCTACTGGGAATAGCATCTTTTGTTCACAAGCTCATTATATAAACTTTTGAAAATCAATTGGAAATCGATCTCTTGTGCATGTAAAACTTTATGTCCATTGTTCCCAAAAGAGAGGAAGGGGAAAAAAAAGAAAAAGAAAAACCACTTGCTCATAAAAA